GCCCTCCTGGCCAGCTGCCCTCCCTGCGGCCACGCCTTTCCCGGCTGCTTCCCGGGAGGCTGAGGAGTGCCCTTCTCACCGGCCAAGCGTGCTCCGGTGCACCGGGAGCCCCCGAGAGCAGCTGCTAGGCGACGGGTCTCAGGGAGCGGGCACTCCAGGGCAGAGGGCCCCAGGCCCCGGGAAGGTGCCAGCTGGCCCCAGGAGGGCGCGTGGCTTCCTGGAGGAGGGGGACTTCCCAGCCGCCCACACTCAGACGAGTCCGGCTCCGGTCACCCCACACATGGGGCGGGAGGGCGAGTCCTTCCCCCGAGTCCAGGGACCTCTCGCAGCCCTGGGGCCCTGTCTGATGCTGGCAGGAAGGGCCCAGCTCCCTGTGGCTGCGGGCTGCAGGGGAGAAATCCACAGGTCTGCCTGGACTGTAGGTTGGCTGAGGGCGGGGGCGTCCCCGCGGTGACTCAGGGGTGACAACGAGCTGGGAGCCTGCTGCCCTGGACTTGGAGGGGTGGCAGGGGGCGGAGCTGTCCGGCTGCAGGGGCGGGGCTGCTGTGGTCCTGTGTCCCGGAGCCCCGCCCCAGAGGAGGGGCCTGCGGGCATGGGCGGGGCTGCTGTGGTCCTGTGTCCCGGAGCCCCGCCCCAGGGGAGGGGCCTGAGAGCGTGGGCGGGACTGCTGTGGTCCTGTGGCCCCGGGGCCCCGCCCCAGGAGGAGGGGCCTGCGGGCGTGGGCGGGGCTGCGGACCCCGTCCTGGTCTGTCTGGGATTGCTGTCCCCTGTGGTGGTAGGAGCTAAAGGGAGTGCTGTCCCAGGTGGGGACAGTGTGCTTAGACCTTTGACCCGCTCTACGGCAGAGCAAAGATGACTTGGGGGCTCCTTTTTCTAAAAAATAATTATTTTATTCAACTTTAAAAATTTTTTTTTGGGGGGGAGAGGTTTTTGTTATAGGGCGCGTGCGCTCGCCAGACAGACATAGAGACAGAAAGCGAGAAATCACCCCCCAGGGGGATGGCCACGCCGCAATCCCTTCTCCTCCATTCTCCTCTCGGGATCCTGGGCATGCACGCACATGTGCCCAGCGTGGGTTTAAGCCACCAGGTCCGGGACTCAAACCACAGTTGACTATGTAGGAGTTCAGCAACGTAGCCATTACACTAACTGCTGGTCCCAAAATTATCATTATTATTATTATTGTTTGAGAGGTTTTCGCTATAGGGCGCGTGCGCTCACCAGACAGACATAGAGACAGAAAGTGAGAAATCACCCCCAGGGGGATGGCCACGCCGCAATCCCTTCTCCTTCATTCTCCTCTCGGGATCTTGGGCACGCACGCACACGCTCCTGGCATGAGTTT